CAGTTACCTCCATTTGACTTTTGTCCTTAAAGGAGAACTATGGGGTTAAGTCTTTTCCCCATAGTTCTCCTTAGGGTAACGGGAGGACACAAACTAGCGTCCTCCCGTCACCCCAGGCTCAGTACTGAGACGCCGCAGTATACCGCGAGCTGCTGCTCGCGGTATACTGAGACGCCGCAGCTGAAGCGGATCCCGACAATTGTGACGGGATCTGCCCAGCTGCGTGACTGACAGCTGGCTCTGTCCTATCTAGAGGCAGAGCCAGCTGTATCCGCCCCCTCCCCCGTCCGGGGAGGGGGGAATCCATCCCCTCCCCTGTCACAGCAGAGAGCCGTGACAGAATCGAGAGGTGAGCGAACGCCGGTATGTGTTCGCTCACCTCCCGATCTACTGAGCCGACCTGTGACATTCTCATTGTCACAGGTCGGCTAGAACTATGAGGTGAGTGAAAAGCACTCACCTCATAGTTCTCCTTTTAAAGAGATTAGATCAATGCAGTCAAGTTTCCTACTGATGGAACTGAAGTGTAATTTTGAATTATATCACACATCCATATTGCATCTTCATATTTTGCAACAGTGTACAATAGACATGTGCGATTTTGTTTCCGAAAGATTCATTATTCGGATGAATTTTTGTTACTCGGAGATTCGGATGTATCCGAATCTCTGAATGACGAATGAAAACGAATCCGAATTTCCAAAAACACTAATTTCGGACGAAATGTGTTAGCAGTAACAATGTGTATAGACGAAATGTGTTAGCAGTAGTCTGTGCGAATTTACGTTTGTAGACAAATAAAATTCCTACCAGACTCTTGATCCAAGCACAGGCACTCCCCTAAAGGCTCTGGTATGGATTTTGGGGGGAAACCCCACGCACTTGGGGGTCCCTCCTAACATTCCTACCAGACCTAAAGGGTCTGGTATCAGGTGGGGGGGCCTCATGTTTTTTTTTCACCCCCAAAAAATGGGGGGGGGGGAATGTGGGGTCCCTCCTAAAATTCCTACCAGACTCTTGATCCAAGCACAGGCACTCCCCTAAAGGCTCTGGTATGGATTTTGGGGGGAAACCCCACGCACTTGGGGGTCCCTCCTAACATTCCTACCAGACCTAAAGGGTCTGGTATCAGGTGGGGGGGCCTCATGTTTTTTTTTTTCTCTTCTGCAGACTAAACAACTATTTTTTTTTCCCTGTCACCTTGCTGCAACGAAAATTTAGAAATTCGTCCGAATCCCGAACCGAATTGTCTTTCGGACCCGAAAAACTAAATGATGGAAAATTCGAATGAAAGTGAAACTAAACAAATTTTTTGCCAGTGCACATGTCTAGTGTACAAAAGACACTGACCCATTTACATCAGTCCTTGCCTCCAAAAGAACTTTAAAGTGACACTAAACTAAAGAGTTAAATCTTAAAAATGCATTCAAGTACCCTAAAAAAACTGTATCTTATTTATGTATCACTCGGCTGTAGGTCCTCAAACAAATCATTTCTGAATTTGTGCTGACATTTTCCTTCCTTCTGGAGGGTGGCTACTTTTGTTCCTCATGGTCCCTGTGTTGTAAAGTAGCCATCACTCCAAACTCGCTCCTGTGATGGACTACAACCTCACGTTTTAATGTAATAATTTGTATTGAGATTGTAGTCCATCAGGGGAGTGAGCTTGGACGGGTGGCTACTTTAGAACACACTTGGGGAACAAAAGTAGCCACCCTCAAGAAGGAAGCACAGTGTCGGCACCAATTCAGAGATGATTTGAGGCACTACAGCCGAGTGATACACAAATGAGCTACATTTGTGTTAATAGATAGGGTACTTGAATGCATTTTTAAGAGTTAACGCCTGAGTTTAGTGTCACCCTAAATCCGTACCACATTCATACCAAAACACACCATCCACAGTCATTTATTTGTACAAGGTCTCAGATAGGAATAGAACTCGATGCATCACTGCAAGGCAAAAGTGAAAACCACTCATACAAATAGAATGTGCGAAAGCAGCCTGCAGGTGCTTCAACAAGCTGTCATCTATGCCAACACTGAATCATCATTTTGGGGGTATGCTTAGCCTTTTAGGCTAAATTTAATAGATGATTTAGTGTCATATGACTGAGCAGTTTAGTCTCTTATTTGTAAAGACTTATTTCACTGCTGAGCTATTTAAAGGGAATCTGTACTGAGATAAATATGTAGGCTGCCATTGCGGACCTTCATCTAAAAATGATAGTTGATTGGCGCCAGTACTTTAAGTTACTGACCTGGATGAAGCTGGAGCATTCAAGATGGAACAAATTTGGAACTTCTGATTTACTTACTTCTTCACTTACTTAGCTCAGAAAGTGCTGAAGCCACTGGGTCAGCATGTCAACCAGGCAACTAGCATTTTCATAAGGTGGTGTAGCCGTGCAGTATTAAAACTGCTTATATAGTTTAGCCTTTAATATACTGTAACAAAACTACCACAGAGTATATTCTTGGAAGAGATTTAGTGTGTGTGTGCGTGTGCACGTGCTAAAGACAGAGAGCCCTAAGAGCCCAGGTGTAGCATGGTAAGCCACTGCTTGTAAGGAGTGGAATCTGTTTTATGTTGTCTTTGTTGTATCATTTTATATACTTAATAAAACCTAAGTAAGCAACCAAGTGACATTCTTGGAGGATGTGGGCAGGCAAATTGGTACCAATTAGTATACCAATAGACATTGGTATTTGTGAAATTATAAGGCTGTTCTCACTGACTAACGCTATCCAGCAGGAGACAGTTACTGGCCAGCAACAAGCTATTGCTAACCAGCAAGAAGTAATCAGACTGCTGGTCACCCAGGTAGCAGCTCTAATTAGTTAATATTATATGATTACTTAACCCTGGCATTACTAAAACAATTAGATACATTTATTTTTTGCATAAAATGGTCCCTTAAGATGATACAGATACCTTCCTTAACACCTTTGAGTGGACTTCTAAAAGGGAGGCATGACATAAAGATCAATGGATAGGGCGTTTGGGGACCATCTTGCTTGCAGTCTGTAGGAAAACTTACAAGGTATGCCAGTATGAAAAATGAAAAAAAAAAGCAGTTTTCTCATGTAAACGTAGGAGCTGAAAACACAGAAAGGCCCCAAAGCAGACGCAGACCTCCCTTCCTAGCTAGAAGGGGATACAAGAAGGTAAATGTAGCAGAGACCCTGTCAGAACCCCAGTAACAGGAGGTAAAAAGGTTTATGCAACTCAACAAAGATGCACCATACTTTCAGATTTGCAAGGGTGCACTAGTTTGAGTAAATTTGATGGTTTTGTGAACCGCAAAGTTTGTGTCAGTTGTAATCTCTATCAGATCTTAGAAGCCCATAGAGTGGATGTTGCAGAGAAAGTCAAAAGAATGCTTGACCTAAAGGTGATTTAGGGGTTCAGATGTGAGTAGTGTAGCTCCCAAGTTTTGGTTCTCAAGACAGATGGTTCATTGAGATTTTGGAACAACCTTTGGGAATATAAGTATTAAAGTATGAGCCATGCCAAAGGTGGCGATGCTGTTCGAGAGAATGAGCCTTAGACATACTGTATGTAACCACCCTTGATATCACTAAGGGATTATCAGATTCCTTTTACACAGTAGGCAAAAGAGGACAGTGTTTGGCAAACTGTGAACCCAAAGCAATGTGCCATAGCACTGGAATAAGTGTGTTACCTTGCATAAACCATAACTCAAAGCGTAATAGAGCTCCAAATTCACAAGGTAGAGGCTATTTGGGAGTGGTCTCAACCAGTCATGAAAAAACAGGTCAAAGCTTTCTTAGATATAGTGGGGCGTTATTGATTTATTCCAAATGCTACCATTATAGCAGCAGCCAGGGCCAGCGTTAGTGCACAACCAGCTCAAGGGGCTGCCTGAGAGCATCAGGGGTTGGGGTGCGTAAAAATGGTATCACCTGGCCAGCAGACAAATGGCCTCAGATAGCTAGAGCACTGTTATGGCTCTATCCACTGTAATGTCAGGGCCGCCCCCTATTCTGTGGGCGCTGAGTTTTAGGCTGAACTGTGTTGGTAGCTGTGAGCCCTGTCATGTCCTGTCTCTGGAGCGTCTCACAGTATTTCCTCCCGGCCGCTGTGTGTACTGTCAGAGGATCGTTTATCATCTATTGTCTGAACTGTCTCCTGCTCTGAGCTGCAGGTACCGTGGAAGGAGGGGGGAGAGGGAGGGAGAAAGAGTGTGAATGCCCTGCTGCTCTATACTCTGCGCTGATCTGCCCCTGCTGCTATCCTCCACATCTGCCCCTGCTGAGACACTCCACATCTGCCCCTGCTGAGACACTTCACATCTGCCCCTGCTGAGACACTTCACATCTGCCCCTGCTGAGACACTTCACATCTGCCCCTGTTGAGACACTTCACATCTGCCCTACTGCAATCCTCCACATCTGCCCCTGCTGCCATCCTCCGCATCTCCCCTGCTACCATCCTTCGCAACTGCACTGCTGCCATCCTCCGCATCTGCCCTGCTGCCATCCTCCGCATCTGCCCTGCTGCCATCCTCCGCATCTGCCCTCCTCTGCATCTGCCCTGCTGCCATCCTCCGCATCTGCCCTGCTGCCATCCTCCGCATTTGCCCCTGCTGCCATCCTCTGCATCTGCCCCTGCTGCAATCCTCTGCATCTGTCCCTGCTGAGATACTATCCTAAAATCATTAGTCTGTATTGTTTTAGAAAAACTGTCACATGACACTAAACAACAAAAAAAGAAGAGGTATTGGTAATTGGTATCGGCAAGAACTCTAACACTAGAGCAAATGAAATATAGAATTGTCTGTCAGATAGTAGTGGTGAAACAGTGGACCGTGACTCTGAGAGCCTCCACGACGTTCTCAAATAACATTTGAACAAGTCAGTTCTCAGACATGAGAGTACCATTGCTTGCCGCTGAGAAATACAATTCGGGCACTGTTGCAAGATGAATTGTTCTGAATTGTGTTCATTTAAACATTTCTTTTCTGTTACACTGTGTAGGTCTCCTTTGTCTTCCATGGTGTTTGGAACAAATGCTCTATTTACAAAGCCTGCTCAGTCACTGGCACCCATGTTTGTCGTCACTGTACTCAATCAGTATGGATATGAACATCTAAGCAGCAAAGCTGGCCAGCCAGATCCCAAGTAAGTCTTTATCGGACCTTGGGTCCTAAGAGTTCTACGTTGGTATATTTTTTTATTCAGAAAGTTTCCAAGGAAAAATGTTATTTAACAAATCTCAGCTTAATCTAAATTTGTGTCCGGTGAGATACTATCACAGTTTGTAAAGCTGTTGTGTGTTAAGAGAATTATGGGTAGTTTTTTTAAAAGGTGTCAGTTGCAACCCATAATGGAAACTTGACAGCTGAGTGTAGTTGCTTGTTCTGCACAATACAGACATTCGTCCTTCCTCCACAGGCACAACACAGTGCTTAATGCACAATCTTCATTATGACTGTTCCATTAAGAGTAACAATTATTTCTACTGATAATCGTATGCTTGTAAAATACACATGCAAAAATACACATGCATTCACGCTGGATTTTTGAATGATGCTCCTAGTATAGCAAATTGGCATGCGTATTGTTTTACGATCGTTTTATCTAAAGATGGGCAAAAACATTAAGCGAAAGATTGTTCAGCTGCAAATCTCTGTTTTCAATAATTTTTTATTGAAAACTTGATATAAAAGGAAGTGTATGTAGCAAATAGTTGGCACACGGTATACATCCACATAACAAAATGCTCTTTATTAATTCATGGCACAGGGCATAACACCAAGTGTGTCAAACATACTGACTCATTTCATTTCATTTTCACATACATAAACACAATAGTGGGTGTATATAATATATTCATTAGGTCCGGAGAAGATCATGTATATCAATGGGTATATTAACTTTTTCTATAAGAACATCATATTTGTAGATCGAGTCTTTACAAACGTTTATTGATAAATATGCATGTCAACAGGGTAGGGAAGTCAGGTGTGCAGTGCAATGCAGTTACATAAAATCAGGCTAGAAGACTCACATTATGGAAACATGATTTAAATTTTGTGAAACAGTGGTATAATATTATAGAACATGTTAAGGCTTGGAGCTGCATCCCATGCAGAGTATCTTAGATGATTTCAAGGTGTGTGTGTGTGTGTGTGTGTGTGAGAGAGAGAGAGATAATGGAGGCAGGGACAGTCCTACATATTTGTGTCATGTTGCTAGGGTGTACACATTGAGGGGTATGGGCTTATATTTTTGCCAGTGTTGTGGGGTATAATAAGGCACTTTACAGGAGCTTGCCAGGACCAGTATGTTTGGGAGCTTTTTGCAATACTAGTCCACATTTACAGCCTTTGAAAATTCAGTTCAGCTGACTTCTATCATTACATTGGTCTACTGCAAAGACTATTTCACTAAAATTGGTAATTTTCCTTAGGCAAACATATGTTCAACCCTAACTATTCCTAAGACTATGAAAATCACTGTAGTGCCATTTTCAATTATTTAGTGACCAAAAACCAAAACATTATTGAAACTGTGTGTCAGATTGCTATAGTTAAAATATATTGTAAATTTTTAAAAGAGGTAACTGAATTTCCAGCACCAAGGACCAGCACAATTCTATTTGTGTAGCTAGCATTATGTTTGATGGCTGTATTTATATGTACTACCATATTTTATATAGGAAGGCTTAACAATATGGCATTTAATATTGCCGGTACAATGTCTAAATGTATTAAGAGCCAAAAGTTTTGTTTTACTTTTGAATAGAATAGGTAATGTTTAATCATTTAAGATTTTTATTAGTATTTTATGTCTTGTCCTTTTCTGGATTTCCCTTCACTTGCTGTCCCAAAGACACAATAGGAAATAAGAAGAAATTTCTCCAACCACTTACATAGTGGTAACTGGAACAGGTGTCAACAGTGGAATATTTCCCTTTAACTCCTATCCAGTGACAACTAAAATTTTGGTAACAATGGTGACAAGGACAAATAGAAAAGAGAAATGTTTCCTGTGCTGACACAAGTGGTAAGAAAAATCTAATAGAGGATTTAACCTCTATCCATACCCCCCCCCCAAAAAAAAAGAAAAAGCTATAGATACACTTTACATAATTACTATTTTGGATGCATTGTGTGATAATCATTATTCCAGGCAGGTGAAAGAAGTAATCTTCCAATTTACCCCACCTCCTGCCCCAAGATGATGGCACCCAACAGCAGTCTCAAGTCTTTTGAATATCTGCACAAGGGAGCCTTTTACAGCTAAATAACAGGCATATTATATATTAAATGCATGGGCCATCTTATAGGAAAACTTTTGATAAACTAAATGGTCTGGCGACAGGGTCTCTTGAATATGCATGCATTTACCACTGATTCGCCCTAAAGTAACTGTTTTCTCATACATGTTTAGTTGGTGCCATCTAGAGGCAGATTAGAGTAAATGCTACTGGTAGAAGTGTTGGAAGAAAGCTAGCAGTAGCAGTGTGCTAGCCATTAACCATTGTGCAGCAGTTTGGATGTTAGGTGATACCGTTTATCGCTGCACTATGTATTTAAACATGTACAATTTCAAAAGATGTTAAGTTTCTTCATCAAGCAGTATATCTGATGATGTCAAGAAGGTTTAAAAACTATGAGGAATGTCAGCTGGGTTGCTATCCTCATATGCCTGCCATGAGACTCAAAGGTCCTAGATCTTTCCAGTTACATAGCTCCGACCTTAGAAGGTAATACTATTATTATCTCTAAAATCTTAAGAATCCTACTTCAACTTCACAACAGGCGAATCGTCAGCACAGGATTGAGGCCTACCTGTGCATGTGCCTCACATCCCCACTACAGCTCCCACTGATTTAGGGGCCCCTATTACTTGTGAAGAAGTAACTCTAGCTATGAACCTAATTACCGCAGGGTCCCAGCTGGTTCACACTGTCCTTTCAAATATTAGCCCAACTGCTCACCCCATATTTTGCAAAAGTGTTTAATGCCCCAGGGAAGACGTCCTGCTCACATTTAATTTATTCCTAAAGAAGATAAAGATCCCTTGCAATGCCACAACTGCAGACTGTTTTCCCTCCTAAATACAGACTTGAAACTGTTCACCAAAATTCTTGCTACGAGACTCATAACGAGGACATCATCCACTATGATCAGGTAGGCTTCGTTCCCACCAGGGTAGCCCAAGACAATACTACAAAGGTGCTGGACATAGACACCTGGGATTAGGGGGAGTGATTATGTCCTGGATAAAAGCTATTTATTCACAGCTGCCTGCCCAAGTTAAAATCAATGGCGCACTGTTTCCCCTTCAACATATAGACTGGTACGCGGCAAGCATCCCCCTTATCGTGATTTCTACTCTGAAACCCTTTCTACAAAAGATTAGAGCAAGTCAGTTTTTAGTGGCCCGCTGCCCAACTATTGGCACATCACCACCTCCCAAAGTAGCAACATATGCTGATGATCTGTTATTCTTTATTACAAACTCAACCACTTCTCTACCCAATCTACTAGCTGAATTGTGCACATATAACTCTTTATCCAACGTTCAGATGAATCCCTAAAAACTCAGCAGCTTCAAACATTCTGTCTGTAGGACAACTTCTCCTTTTTAAGTGTTTGGATTCTACACTTAAAGTGGACCTTTACCCCCTTTCACTAAAAATCACATCTGCATGTGGATTTAAAAACATCTCACATTTATTAGTTAAACAAACTTGTTTTTCATTTACTTACAAATAGAGTTCATCTACTTCCTCGTCCACTTCTGGCACTAATAATGTAAGGTTACATCAGCAGAGCATTGCTGGGAAATCTCATCTGAAATCTCCTCCCCTGAGATGATGTGCATGGTCACATGTCCTATTCACATGTGCTAGAGTTCCAGGAAGTAAAGGGAGAGGTAGTTACCTGCCCTTAGTTAACATGGCCACTGTCAGAAGACTGGGAAAGAAATGAGAAATAAGGTGTGCAAAGAATACAAAGCCTGCAATTATCTAGACGTCTGTGTTTGTAGATTGTCATTACTGAACAATTCTAAAGGTGTGTTTTTTGTTATTTTAAAGATATGTGTAAAGTTCCTCTTTAATTACCTATTTAGGGATGCACCGATACTAGTATCGATATCGGTGCCGATTCAGAGTACTCGCCCAAATGCTCCGATGCCTAGCACGAGTACTTTCGGTATCAGGAAGCCGGGCAGCGTGTCATTTTACCACCTTCAAAGTGTATCTATAGCCAAAAGTGTTTTTGTATTTAGGTTTGGATGAAGTGGGGAAGGATTAGAACTTGGCAACATTGGCACCCAGGACTCTCAGCCAAAGGGGCTGAGAGGGTCCAGAATGTAAACAATCTTATAAGGAAGAGCCTGGCTTTTCAGGTCCAGCTGGAGCTCTGGAGATCTCTTAGAGCTCTGGGTGGGATGAGATCTCCAGTCCTGGGGCCAGGTGTTACCAATGACCAGCTTGGGCTGATCAAGTGGCTGAGAGCAGCCTCATTAGGAAGTCAGCCCAGTGCTCCTTTAAAGAGATTTCCCCTCACTTCCTGTCCTGGGGGCAACCTTTTTCCCAGACAGGAAGTGACGTTCTCTAATTAAGCCTCCAACGGCAGTAAAACCTGACAGAGAGTTCTAATCCTTCCCCACTTCATCCAAACCTACATACAAAAACACTTTTGGCTGTAGATACACTTTGAAGGTGGTAAAAAAAAAACACATTTTCTCATAAAATACAATCCAATTATATCAGCTAAGCATTGCACCACTGCAGCCACACAAAAAAAGTAGGAAATGGAAAAGAAAATTATGACTTTTGTAAGATAACTGAATTAAAATGTCAGGGTTTCAAGAACTCTAAGGTCTTTTTATACCTATTGAAGAGACCTAACTTGTTTTAAGCACCTACAGTTTATTCTCTCCATTTTCCAATAAAAGGTATAACTGTAACTTTTTCACAAATAATACAAAAGTTGTAACAATATGAACTAAATTTACTGACTCAGGGCAGGTTCACACCATTTTCCAGACCAGATTTGGTCCAGGAAATGGTGTGAACCTGCCCGTAGTTTCAGTGCATTCCAGGCCAGACAAAATGACACAAGCAGTATTTTTCTGGTCTGGAACAGACTGCGCTGGTGTGAACAGAGGCCAGAAATAGCACAGGGGTACCTTGGGATGCATTTTGGGTCCAGAAACAATCTGGTCTGGTCTGGAGATGATCCGGATGTGGTGTGAATGGGCTGTAATACTGTAAAATGCCTAACAGGGTACAGTGTATGATTGTCCTCCTTTTTTAAAGCCATGGTCTGTCTTCTACTAGTATGTAATACAAGTACCTGTTACAGAGGGATATTCTGTATTCTATAATATCTTGCATTGATCTGCTTTAGACAGTGATAAATGAAGTGCATGATTCTTTGTTTATACATCATTCTTATTATCTTTTCTTGTATTTAGTCTGTTTCTAGGTCTCCATGATGTAATGTTCTATATGACATGTTTGGTTCCTCTCTGTATAGCCGTTATACAGATCATCATATGGACTCCATACTCTATCCGGAGCAGTCATGTTACAGATTCGTACTGAGAGACTGAAGTAATAGTTTTATTAAGTTATATTACTAAGCACAATTTAATGGGAAAAACTTGGTGCCTTTTGATTATTATTTCTGTTTATTTGTATTAACTGCCTGTTAATCAGTTTCTGACTATATTTTATATCTTGCTCTGCCTGCCAAATTTTAGAGAAAGCTAAACACTATTTACATCAAAACTAGTATCACCGCTTAAAAAAAAAATCGGCATCATTTTCTAAGAAAACCAATACTTGCTGTTTATGAGTTGATCATTCCTCCAGCATTCACGACCATGTGAAAGCATTCAATCAAACCAAGTATAGAGACACACGCCTTAACATCATGGGCCTTGTGCTAGGATGGTTCCTCCTTTTGGCAATCTTGGAGAATTAAAACCATGCAAACATTTTCCATCTACACTCAGGAATTTGTCTTTATAAAAGCAGCCCTTTTATTAAATTGTCATTTTATAATGGCAGTACAGAAAAGGTAGCTTCATATTCATGATACATCGAGCCGCTCTGAGCTCTATTTCAAAGGATCTGTGAATGGATGACACAGCAGTGCAAGCACAGCCTCGCTGTATTTATATTGCTACAGGAGTCAGAGGGGGGGGAAAATAATCCCACGATACAGGTAAATTGGGGAGGAGGGGGGGATGTGACCATGTCCCGCATAATCCAGGTGCAACATGAACAATGGAACAAAAAGTAAACTTAGGGGGCCATACACTATGCAAATTCGCACAGTGGGTGTTGGCACCCTATGGCCAGCATCCCTTGATCAGCTGATCAAAGGAACCGGTCGGAAAATCTTCAAACAACAGAGCTGGCACTCAATGAGTTGCCGACTCTGTTCGGGTATTCTGACAGCGGCGCCAACAAGAGTATATGTTGTTCCAAAATATGCCAGAGTAAAGTGATTGCTTTCATTGGATTCCTAACACACATTTGCTATTAATTATATTGCTAAGATTTAAAGCTGAACTCTGGGCAAAAGTAGAATACAAAATTGAATACAGCTTCGTATTCAATAATACATCATTCAGTGTAATTTAGTAAGTTCTTGAGTTTGACCTGGTATTAGTACTCTGTACCTATACAGTAGACCTCAGATTAGCAGAGGGAGAAGCAGGACATGATGCCAATCAGATATACTGCAGTGCTCATATGATAACAAGGAACATGGTGATAGGAGGAGAGGGCAGGATGAACAGAGAAAAGCTCAGCAGTATGCCGCTTCTCCTTTCACTGTCTAGTTAAAGGGAGGGGACCTGTAAATGTTACTGAACTGCAGCAGAGAAAAATCTGTTCTGCTGCCCTCTGCCGCCCAAGGCTGTTTTGTTTTTTTTGTTTTTTTTATGTGGCAGAGTTGTGTACATCTCATGGATGGATGGATAGTAATATAAATGGTTTGGCTGAGAATACACCTACCTTTTATGTACTTCATCTGTGTATTTAGCTATTTGCCTGGAGTTCAGTTTTATGTCAGTGGGTACAGATACACTCTAGTGTGATACTATGTTTCTTTTGTTATTGAAAGATGCACTAATTTACAATTGTTTTAAATGTTTATTCAATGTTGATGTCTATTGTTTTCTCTCTACTGGTTTTATTCAAAGCTGAACTTCGTGTTGAAGAAAAACATTAACAACAATACTTGTTGCTTGTTTAGTCTAGGGATGAAGGAGTAAACTCTAATACGTGCCCCATTTCTCGCTCTTCTCTTCGGCTGTCCAGCTGGCAGTAGCACTCCAACATTATCAAGTACAATGCAAGACCAATAGTCTCCTATGACATTGAACCTAATAGGCTGTGGTGGAATGCAGTGTCCACGAGAGTAGTGAAGGAAATCAGTAGGATTAATTAAAAGTGCACATAGAGCAGCGAAAAGGTGACCCATTTTCCGCTACAACACAAACTCAACGCCTTAAAAGAGAACTATGGCCTAACCTTTTTTGGCCATAGTTTGCTTTAGGGTCATAGGAGGACATATACTATGTCCTCCTGTGACCCAAAACTCAGCTATTGCCCGCCATATGCTGACAGCGCAGAGCCGAACCGCAGCCGGGACTGGTCCAGACAATATTGTTGGGATCCACCCTGCTGGCTGATTGACAGCTGGCTCTGTCTCTCTAGAGCTATGAGCATCCCCTCACAGTGTGTCAGTCAGTGGTGTTGGATCGGAGAGGGGAGGGGGGAATCCCTGCAGGGAGATGATCGGGAAGTCAGCTTCAGTGTCACAGGTTGGCTTGAATTAGGGGGATGAGTGTATTTCACTCACCCCATAATTCTGTGCTGTAGTGTGAAATGGTCAGGGTGCTGTATGTGCATCTTTGAATAGACTTCCCAGTTTCCTTCAATACCCTGTTTACCTGCTTAGTTTATTTTAGCTTTGAATAGCTGTGGAGTCTGAGCAATTTGAAGGTGTAGATGTAAACTGTATGAATTTATATATATTATATATCTAAAGCTGTCACAGAAGAAACAATTGCTGGTACTTTCATGTGCTGTGTGGGCTCACTGCTGCCTGCAATGCTTTCCACCAGGGAGAACCATCACAGTGCAACATTTGATAGAGTGCCAATGACTTGGTGTAAAGTAGAGAAGAAGGTGCTGGCTACTTTGTATTTCTTGTGATGTCTTTTAAAATGTAGCTGCTAGTGGCAGGTCCACTTTAAAACTGACCTGGAATTTGTAGCACGTGCAATAATGTTGATCAACAGTGTGTCATTCAAATGTAAATGCTTCAATTTTTGCATTACAGACAAGTAGCTATATATATACATGAATATAATATTATTACTGCAAAGAGCAGTGGGGTCAAAGCAGCCAATGAAAAGCTGACCTCTAGCTATTATTATTTGATTTGTAAATAGTTAAAAGAGAGGATTGCATATCAGTACTAATATTTTTTATTGCACAAATCTAACAAAACTGCTAATATAAATTGTAGGGGGTTATATTGAGCTCATTATATACATTTTCCATCCATTGACTGTGTGTACGCACAACTGTAGGAAAGTACAGATACACTATAGACATGAATACTATATTGCAGTAGTCGCTGTCTTTTCTATGTAAATTTATGTCTTTTTTTTGTTTGTAAAAAAAAAAAATGTGACCTTATTTTGTGATGTTAAAAAAATAATATTTCTATTCTGTCGGTACATTTGCTGTTCTCTTTTTCATGCTGTTCTATCTGTTGGTGCAATAAAAGTTGGGAAGTTTTAAATTGTGTGATGTTTTCTCTGAGGCGTTTTACAGTTGATTCACAGTGTATATTGTAATATTTATTAATACATATTACATATATCAAATATTTTTCTTTTACTGTGTAGCTAATTCTTTACTTTACCCACAAAGAGTATGTATTTTGTTTTGTGCTGTATCCGGAAAAGGGAAAAACTACTATGCTTGCCTGCCCGTTCATGTCTAGGGGACCTGTGTAAAATGGCTTACCTGATCCCCCACTTTCCCTGCAGTGGATGCTCACTTGGTCTCCCCTACACTTCTGCTTACTGTTCCTCAGTGTCCTCATGTATGATACGGTGCTACGGATCCAGCATTGTACATAATGATGTCAGTGGGCTTCCAAAAGTTGGAGCTTAGGAGGGGAAGAGACTGCAGATGCCAGCCTGGGGATAGGCATGCTAAGTAATGTGTAAGTGTAATTACCTTTAATTATTACCTCTCTCAAAGATCACATCTGACAATGTTTTAATCTGCTTTTCAGAGGGACAGGACCATCTTCAAAGTTTATCCCAGGTGCCAATGCAGTCCTTGACTAGGTTCACAATTCTCTGTCACAGATTAGCCCCCAGCTACAGCCTCTCCCCTTGTGACTTGCTCCAAAGTTTGTCTTCTTCCCCAAGTCTGATCAGCGTGGTGAGAAGACAAAGGCTGTTTTAACAGCTCTCTCTGGGCAGGTTAATAACACCTCCTAGACTCCAATTATGCAAATGCAATCAACATCTGGTTGTGACTAACAGACTATGTGGATTGGAGTAACACTCACCATATTTATTCCCAGTGAATTTTTGTACAAGTCATTCTGAATTGAGAAAGCTGGTTGGATGACCAGTGAAACGTCTTCAAGAAAAATACAGCAAGTCCAGTTGCCTTTACTTATTTTTTACAGATATACCATGACCTCGATGAATTTGAACCTTCACAGACACTGGGAGGAGAAGAGACTGCGCAAATGTTTCCTCCTGCCTGCAGCAGACTCATGGCATCTTCTCAGCCTAGGCAAAGTAACTTGTTTTTGTTTCAAAATATGTATTGGATTTTCAAGGTAGAAGTAATTAGACATTTTACATGGTATTTGCCGGCCGCAGTTGGCCACATAAGTAACTCGGTAGATTCGATGGCGTGCCTATGCAAACACATTGCGATAACTTTAGTTTATGGTGAGGTAAAAAGAAAGAAAGGTCAGGTAGGTTGTTCATCGGTCGGTCAGCTTTGATTTTGGTTCGGATCTATTCCGCAGGTCCTCGGGTCTCAACCAGGGGTCACTAACCAAATTCCCCTCACTCTGTTGACCACATCACAGGCGTCTAAGGGTATACACATCCAGATCCGGGTGGTTATGTAGGAGCCAAGGTTCCCAGATTTGTAGAAATCTGGTATGGGTATCAGTTAGAATACTCAATAACCGCTCATTCAACAATATATTATCTAGTCTTTGCGTAAATTCCCGGTACGGGATAAATAGTTTTTTCCAATTTCCCGCTAGGGTTAATTTGGCCGCGAGGAATATTTGGTGTGCCAGGGCACCCTGTGATTTTTTTAGTTCGGGCACTGAAGTATGTAATAGAGCCTGTGTTGGGTCTCTAGAGATTTTCTTAGCAAACAAAGTTGAGATTAAGCAAAAGATTCTTGTCCAAAAACGGACGGCTAACGGACAGGACCACCAGGTATGTAACATGTCCCCTGGGGCCAAACATCCGCGGAAGCATTTAGCAGACGATGACGGGAACATTTTGGCTAATCGAGTGGGGACCAGGTACCATCGAAACATTACTTTATAGGCAACCTCAGAGTTTGTCACATAACTGGAGAATTTTGAAATATTTTTCCACACCCCCTTCCAATCCTCCTCAGTCCAGTTCAGGCCAAGATCTGCGGACCGTTTGGTAGGATAGGAATGGAGACTGGTACAAGTCAAGGAGTTT